CTCACTATACACTATATACTAGTGTAGTGACTCTGTGTATAATATTTTTACAGTTACATAAACACGCTCTCTGCCCCTTCTCTCTCTCTCTCTCTCTCTCTCTCTCTCTGCGCTTTTCCAATGTTACCAGAACATGCGCAAGTGGTGGCCTCTGCCACCCAACTCACGGCGACTCGGTTTTGCCAACTCATCATGACGATCCCAATTCCTTAAAAGAGAAACTTAAGAAGGAAGCAATATATTGCGACAAATTAATGGGAATTTAATTTAATCTTCAGGACAAATTCTTTGGGAGAAAAAATGAATTGAATTTCCAAATTTCCAATACTACATCAACAGCTTGTTTGTACAAGGATATCAAAAAATGAACATATTTCAAACCCAGAAAGAAAAATTAAAGAAATACACGCTAGAATTAATTCCAATATTAATGCCTGCCTAAAGAAACTCCTCATCAGAGTCGGAGTCTCTTCTAATTTTGGGAAATCTCCAGTTTGGGCTTCATGATCGTCAATATCCTGGGCTTCTTCGCCGGGTGAGGGCTCTCCACCTCGTCGTCGCCGCACAAGAAGAAATCGCGAGAGAACTCGGGCAGCGCGGGCATGTTCAGGTCAAAGGTCTCGCGGTGGCCGTGGCTCACCGCCTGGTGGGAAGTGGACCCCACTCCCTCCGAGGATGTCACTGCGCTCGTTGTGGTGGCCGTGGCCGTCGCTGTGGCTGTGGCTGTGGAGGCGCCGACGCCGCCTTCGTAGTGGCAGCGCTTGTGCCCGCCCAAGGCCTGGCCGGTGGGAAAGGACTTGTGGCAGATGGAGCACTCGTGGGTCCTACCGGAAGCGGTGACAGTGGTGGTGCCCGAAGTGGTGGTGTTTGATGAAGTGGAAGGGCCTTCGGCGGCCGATCCAGCGGCGCCTTTTCTGTGGCTGGCCTTGTGCCCTCCGAGGGCTTGGTAAGAAGGGAAGGCCTTGTTGCAAACAGAGCACTTGTAACTCAGCTTCGCAGGCTGTGCTGACGTGGACGGCTCCTGATGTGAGGCGTTAGAAGGGGATAGGGTGATCATGTGGTGTGAGGTGGCGGAGTTTGTTGCCGTAGTGGCGGTTGCGGTGGTGGCGGAAGCGGTGCTTCCAGAACCGCTGCGAGCGAGCATGATGAGGCAGAGAGCGAGGTACTCCTCCTCGGTGGTAGGGCTGTCTAGGCGTGGACGCTTGGAACGCTTGCGTTTGGTCCAGGGCTCGACATAGTTGATTTTACTGGCGGCCTCTTCGAAGCGGAAAGGAGAGGCCCCTGCGGTTGTTGGAGAGTTGAGAGCTTGGAGAGCCATGGGATGAGCAATTGAGTGTTTGCTTGTGGTGTTGGCTAACTGGAGGAGGTCCAGAATTTTTGAGAAACTTGAAAGAGTGTTTGTTTTGGTTTGGTACTTGGTACTTGGTACGAGAGAGAGAGAGAGAGAGAGAGAGAATGGAAATGAGATTTGAAAGTTTAGAGTTGAGTGAGAGTGAGAATGAGCGATAGGGGGTTTATAAAGGGCAAATGAGGAGAGCGAAGTTGCGTGACAAGTGGTAGGAAAGTAGTAGTGTGTGGACCAAGTGTCCGTATATTCAATTCTTATTTATTTTATTTGGTAAATAAAAAAGAGACTTGAGGGATACGAAATTACCACGTTTAGTTTAACTTAGGAGAAGTCGAGTTTTCTTGCTTGGTGGCCAAGGAGGACTGAAGTCGGTCAAAGAGTGGAACAAGTACTGGTGCCTCCATCTCTATGTGGGCCCACAAATGGGCATGGACGTTTTTAACTTTTTAACTACAAAGACTGAGCGGGCCCTCTTTCCAAAGACGATTTCAAAGTCCACAGCTCTACACACCACCCCTTCTTTGAACACAGACGCGGTCCGGTCCACCTCAATTTACCAATCAAACGGCGTCGTCTCGTGTTTGCGACTTTTCCTTATGCTTTGAATCTGGACCGACCTTTAATCACACGCTGGGTTGGGTGTACAGTTTGGAGAGAATTTGTTGTCCAGTTAGGGTTGGCAACTTTAGAAAAAAAAAAAAACTCAATCAAATCAAACCCCACACACACACACACCGTCACAAGTCCCAAACTTAATTTGGAGTGATTAAGGGCCTAATCACATGGGTTGGTGGTGGAGATTAACTGTGCTTAATAACGAGTGGTGGACAGGGCTTGTGGGGTCTTTTTGTGCAGCCTAATTTTAGGCACACCATTTGTAAGCGTCTGCAAATCTTTGCCCTTAATTGGGGTTCTCCAATCAGATTACCATAAACTATCCCAAATCACACTAGTTAATTCAGCTTCTGATTTTGAACACCACCCGTTATCCTTCCTTATCACACAAACAGGAGATAATTACAAACATAATTGAATATTTCCCATCACAAAATCCACTCGTTTTACCCAATGTGCACACGTTTCTGCAGCCATAATATCCTTAACCACTTTGAATATAACAACTTTGTTTGCACAAACACACAGCCTTTTTAATTCATGGTCACAGTTGGGTACTTCTAGAAAGACCCAGTGATTAGGAGTTCAGTGCCACGTCAGCGTGTGATTAAGCACTGCTGTTCAATTTGTTTTGTTTTCTCTGCTCTTATCTGTTGTTTGACTCTCCTCCGTTAAGAAAGATAGCTTTTGTTGCTAGAAAGTAACACGAACATTATGCGAAGCATCTGGGTTAGTGACATGCTGACTTGCTGCTTCTATTCTATCTTCACTAATAAGATATTTTTAAAAACAAAATTTAACCCTCCACCCCACATAAAACACAAATTTTAATTTTTAATCTCTTGCTTTAATTTCATTACCATTTATAAATTATAACAAACATGCACGGTGATCAAAGGATAAATGTCTTATTAAATGAGATATTTTTGAATGAGATGAGAGTGCAAAAATTAAACATAAAAAAGTGTGGCTTTTGTTCCTTGAAAGAAATGGATGCCTTATCCCCTAAGAATTTTACGTGGACGTGTCTAGGATTCAAAGCCCACACTCCACCTCAGTTCTAAAGGACAAGGAGATGCCATATGGCCTAAAGCCAAAAGCCCCATTTGCTGCCGTTTGGCTTTCGGCCACTGAAATTAAGAAACCACACTCCACCTTTACCAAAACAAAGAAACCACACTCCACTGTACTGAGCCCTACCCTTTCGAGTTTATCTACATTTTGTAGTATTTAATTTCAAAATATCAACGGATCTAGCTCAATGAAAGAGAGTATTAACTTGCAGATTAGAGGATTCATATTTGAATATTCACAACATCATAGTTGTGTGTGTTTGTGTGAGAAAATCCCCTTCCTCAGTAATTTAGACTATCGCTTGCACTCAAACAATTTATTTATATATGAATAATTTGCTTTTTGGCTAAGAAAAAGAAAAGGGACATGGGAAAGCAACGAAGGCAGCGATGACATATGGCGTTCAATTCTTTGAAATTCGAATGTAGCATGTATGCATACGGAGACGTCCAAAAAGGAAGATGCCATTTGCATTTAGCAACTAGTTAAAGAATATTATTAATAATTTTAATATTTGATAAGAAGATGACTGAGCTAGGCATGATGAAATGCAAGAGAAGTGTAGAGAGTGAATGGGTGGAACTCGCAAGGTAAAAAAGGTAGGCACGTGGTGAAGTCATTGCTTACCTACACATGTCGGTTTAGTTGATCACGCATCCGAAAGCGGGGTGCTAATTCTCTAATGAATCAGCCATCCGTATAGATAATACAACACACGCGACTTTTAATATTTCAAATGAGAGAAACGGGTGATTTTGAAGCAGCCCCAAAGATACTTCCCCCTAATTATAAGAAACCTAAATGAGAATGAAAAACATGTGAGTTTTAAGTCTCTACTTTGCAATTATTATAAATAAATAAAAACATATTTATTTGGATGAGAATAGTCTCGGATTGGTTGGACTTGGATTGGAAGTATGTGACACTGGGTTTACATTTGGAAGAAGTTAGGAAGGGGGGCCGTTTTGGACACGTTGACTGTGTTGAGATTGAGAGGGGCGATGTTGGTTAATTGTATTGTTGCAAAGGCGGCATGCAGTGGACGATACTTGCTTTACGTCAGTGGGGGCCAAGTGGGTGGTTACCTGGTGGCTGACCTCAGCCAAAGTTGCAATTTTTCACAATACTAAACTCACCTATTGAGTTGATCAATTTTTTTAAAAGAAAACCAGTTGTCAAAAGACCAACCCAGGCCCATGTAATCGAAATTTCAAGCTCCTATAACAGAAACATTGGTACAGTGGGTCGAAAGAATGACTGAATCTAAACATTGGTACCGTCGAGTTTTTCAAGTTCCGTTCAATTTGCGCTCAAACTTAATGTATGATTACCCATTGTTTTTTTCTAAAATCTGCAACACTAACACTTCACGTCACACATTATGCGTGGAGTAGGATAATTTTAGTAATGAACGTAACAAAAGAAAAAGAAGAGCGTGTGAAACATAAAATGAAATATGTACTCCCACTGTCCCACATCAACATTAACATAACATTAGAAGATCTTCTTATTGTGACACCTTAACTTTCTCCATCACAAGCACAACCAATGCACACACTCCACCCTAAAAACCAAAAAACAAAATAAATTATAAAAACGTTATCCAGCAGCATGAATCATGAGGTTTACCAAAAAAAAAAGAAAAGTAATATATTATATAAAAAGGTTAAGAAAAGTGGTGTAAATGTGATCCAGTTTTGCTCCTCTTTTCCAGCTCACAGATTCGAAGCAAAACATGGTAATGGTAGTATGCCTTTCCCACCGCCCACCTCATTGGCTGCTAACAATCGTACGCTTAAATTCACAAGAGAAAATGAAAAAGGAAAAAGGAAAATCAAAGAAAAAACAGGTACCATTAATTATCTAATTTATAGTTCCACTTATACATGGTTGGGTTGGTGGATGCCCAAGTTGAACTAGTAGGACCAAAATGCCCATCTGATTGATATGACTGACCATTTACGTCACTTTTGCGATTTCAGTTTCCATCATTTTGGTTTCGCTGAGACCTGAGAGAGAGAGAGAGAGAGAGAGTCTCAGTGGGTGGCTTTATCAAGTGGAGGAGTGGCCCATGTTATGTTATTATGATTATGATCCCACAAAGCACCTCTTTTCGTTTCTCCTCAAATTCCTTCGCTTTCTCACCCGCCGTCACCTCTCGCAGTCTCGCAGCTCCGTTTAACAGGTCCCCTTCCTCTGCCGCGCTGTCCTTCATTCGCTTCCCAAATTACCGATCTGCCCTCCCTCCCCCGCGCTCCTCCGGTAAAATACTCACCCTTTATTCTTTTCATTAATAATTGATCTTATTCCTTTTGTGATTGATGGCTAACATTTAAAGCGTCGTAATTGCCAATGAAGAAATACAAATCTCTTTTTTTTTTTTTTTTCCCTTTTGTGAAATAAAAACCTCGAAAAGTTTTAAGCAGTGGGCAATTTGGTCAATAATTATTTTACGCGGTTGGTGGGAGGGTATTTTTATTCTTCTCATATAAAACAAAAAACAACAGTGCAATAGTGACTATAACTTCTGAGCCGCTCCCTTTCCGTTGTGTGTGGTTAGTGAGTAAGAGTAAATCAGTGCGAGTTCAAGCAATGGCTGCGGAAGATGGTAAGGACCCTCGTCTTGCTAGAATTTCATCTGCTATCAGAGTCATACCGGACTTCCCCAAGCCAGGTACATGCTGTTTATTCTTCATTTTTTGCATTGATTTTCAACATCTTTGTTTTTGTTTTCTGGTAAGTATGTACACCTGTCTATCCTTTGGTGGGTTTGATCTTTTTTGGGATTTGTACTTGCTATTGGTCCAAATTTTCATCTGGGTACTGGGTGATTTTGGCTTTTATTTTATCTCTGTTCTTGAATGGAGGCTTCTTTGAGTTATGCTTAACTGAGCTTTTTTATGGCAGGGATTTTGTTCCAAGATATAACCACGTTGCTTCTCGATACCAAGGCTTTCAAGGATACCATTGATTTGTTTGTTGAGAGGTACAAAGACAAAGAAATTTCTGTTGTTGCAGGTAATTCAAAAAGTACTCTTTCACTATGGCTAGTTTATATGATTTTTTAGAAAATTTAGTTGGGTTTGAAATGAAACCATATCCAAAGCCCAAGTCTTCAGCATTCTGGCATGGGAGAGTTGTCCCAAAATCACAGTTTAGGCGGTTCTTTCTCTTTCAGTGGCTGTATATACCGAATGCTGGTTGATGTTTATGATCTGAAGTTCTGTTGATGACATAATGCAGGTATTGAAGCTAGAGGCTTTATATTTGGCCCTCCTATTGCATTGGCCATTGGGGCAAAATTTGTGCCTATGAGAAAACCGAATAAGTTGCCCGGTAACATTTGACACCTTTTCCTTTTTCATTCTCCACTTAAACTGCATAAATTTCTGAGCTTTTAGAAGTTTCTCCATAGGAGGAATCCTTGATTAGTTATCGGGACAACAGGATAATTTAATTTTCACTTCAGCTCATTAAATCATCTCTGTCAATGTATTTTACAATATAAATGTTATTTAACTCACAGGCTGGCTTAATCATCTATAAATCTTACATTATGATGCAATATGTTGAACTGATCCAGTTACAGTATTTTTTATAAAAGAATTATTTATTTATTTAAAATGTTTAAAGCCATATGTTGGAGATAGTGCTATTGCCGGTTCTGTTGAGAAATGAGTAACAGGAAATGAGTGGTTATAGTAATTCTGCATCACTCTTGAAGTAATCTTCTCAATAGGAAATTGTAGAAAGGAGTGAAAGTTCACCTGATAACAAATACATAGACGCCAAAACTAGGTTATTCTTGGTCTGAAAATAACGCAACAAATAAATCTCAAGAGCTGGGTTAGATATCTTTATTCCATCAGAAAGTTTGCTTCTTTGCATGCGTAAGTATTGATATTGTAGCTTGTGGCCTTTCTTAACCGCCATTTGTGAAATAAAGCATAAACAGTGTGATTCTTAATGTGCCAAGTTTATTTTACATTTTATTTACACAGCAAATATCTGGTGCTTTCAATAAATTTAGTTCCCAAGATGGCATATAATTCTCATGTTTTGATGGTTCTGCAGGGAAGGTTATTTCTGAAGAGTACTCTTTGGAGTATGGAACAGATATAATGGAGATGCATGTGGGAGCTGTAGAAGCGGGAGAGCGTGCCTTGATCATAGATGACCTCATTGCAACAGGGGGAACCTTGGGTGCTGCACTCAGGCTTCTTGGTAGTATATCAAAACATAAATTTATGTTTAAGTGTTTCTGGACAGAATAATGTTTTCTGTTTTTTTCATATTTGTTCCCATTTTGGCCGGGAATCCAGATAACCCTTCTTGCTTGCAAGACTCACATTTTTGGTTTGTTGTTGCAGAGCGTGTTGGAGTGCATGTGGTTGAGTGTGCCTGTGTGATTGAATTGCCAGGGCTAAAGGTATGACATTGCAAATATGGTGTCAGAAACACCCTTTGATTAGTTGTAGGCTAATTTGATGCTTCCCTACTATCGAGCATTTAGTTGCAGAAGAATTAATAATTATATATGAAGCAGAAGATTTTAAAGATAAAATATTTTTCGCTTGTATAGTTATTGAAACATCACGTTCGTCTGGCTATTGTCTTGCACAGTGTAGAGTCTAGAAATCTTAACCTGGATATATATTTTTCTTATTATGTTTAGTTTTTTCATTAAAGCATTCTTGATGTACTTTTACGGTGGCTTGTTTCAGGGACGGGAGCGATTGGGGGACAAACCATTATTTGTTCTAGTTAATGGAGACGCATGAGCATGGTTAGCAGATTTCAAAAACAACAACTTTATTGTTAGCAGGGGCTTATGGTTGTTGATTATGAAGTGTTTGTTTACATTCGATGACCGAAGAGATGAAAAGAAACTTGGTAGATGTATGTTCTATGTACTAAGAAGAAATAATTTGTTGCTTTTCTATTTTCCCATATGATTTGAACATCAAGTCACCAAAGTAAAATGATCTCAATTATCTCTCATCTCACCCCCTCCATTCTTCCCAAATGCTCTTTCTGTTCTTTTTTTATTTATTCTTTTTGGCCTGAGTTTTCGCGTACTTAATTAGCAATGCAAATTAAATTGGGCAAATCATAAAATAGGGGATATAAAGACCAAGAAACTTCATAGATGAAACAAAGATTAAGGCGTTCGACCCAAAAAAAAAACCACAAAGATTAGGGCACTCTTTTGCTGCATTTCTATCATAATTTAATGATGTACAACACTTTGCAGTTTGATGTTTGGAAAAACTGAAGCCACCTCATGTGTCTTCGTTTTTGGTCTGACTGAACACCTCATGCGTTTAATTTAGGTATATAATTTGTATGATTTACAATAGTCAACCAGCCCCGCGTTAGAATATTGTTTTTCCTACATTCTGTCTGACCAAAAAATTGGAACTGGTCCCTTTGTTCCCTTTTAAATTTTAAATTTTAATTATACAAACCAATGAAAATGTTTCTTGCTTTCCATGAAACAATATTTTAATGTTTGGTATCGATAAGAAATAAAAAAATAAACTTTTGAGAGGATGGTTGGCCAAAATTTAATACTTTTAAAAGAAAAAAGTTTGACTCCTTAAAACTGAAGAGGAGTATTTTCACCTTTAATTATCGTGAGATATTTCACTTTTTCTTTAACCAAAAGCATAAACAATATTTCGAACAAAAATAAAATAAAAAGCAAAACAAATTCAGGAGAGAAAATAGTGGCTATCTTCTCTCCTCGTAGACTCCTAGTCAGATTTGTTAAAGTCCAAAATGGCTAATTGGATGGCAGAAGGTATTTTTTAGCCAAAATGTGGAAAAGCATCTCCAAAGGCAATTTATATATAAGTGGCGTGAATGAAAATTTTAGCACTGCAACCAACCAATTGTTTTTTATATAATTGCCGAGTAACCACTGCCTTCATAATTAAGCATTCTGTTTTCATTTTAGTCCTTTCATTTGTGTTGGGTTTTTAGGTTAAAATGAAGGGAGATTTACTAATATACCCAATATAGAAAATAAAAAGCAAAACAAATTCAGGAGAGAAAATAGTGGCTATCTTCTCTCCTCGTAGACTCCTAGTCAGATTTGTTAAAGTCCAAAATGGCTAATTGGATGGCAGAAGGTATTTTTTAGCCAAAATGTGGAAAAGCATCTCCAAAGGCAATTTATATATAAGTGGCGTGAATGAAAATTTTAGCACTGCAACCAACCAATTGTTTTTTATATAATTGCCGAGTAACCACTGACTTCATAATTAAGCATTCTGTTTTCATTTTAGTCCTTTCATTTGTGTTGGGTTTTTAGGTTAAAATGAAGGGAGATTTACTAATATACCCAATATAGAAGCCCAAATTATAAAAATACCCCATATGAAATGGACTTTAGAAACACACCCAAAACTCATTTATAACATAACAAAAAGGCTTTTAACTTCTTTTAAATTACAAAACTGCCATTAATTTCTCAAAACAAACCCAACCCCAAAACATATAAACAAGTCCAAAAAACTCAATAGGACATCAAAGTAATTTAATAATCAAAATTAAATTCAATAGGGCCAATTGTTATTTTTTGGGTTTTTTTTGGGTTTGTTTATAGAAATTAAATGGTGTAGGGTTTATTTATAGTTTTAGTGCTAAGAATGGGTATTTGACTAAATATCACTAAAATGAAAGCATGCATATATAATTGAAGTGGCAAAGTTTGTAGCTGTACTTGCAAACTTAAGTTTCGTAAGGGAACCGAAGCAGGCTACTAACACCAAAGTACCATTATGTATGGCAAAATGTACTTTTTTGAAAAAAATATTATGGAAAGCTTTGAAATATGGATTGGAGATGCTTTAAGGATCGATTACGGTATGATTAAGTTGTTAGAGATGCTCTAAAGAGTTGAATATTTTTCATAAGTATATCATCCATAATTCTACAAATAAAATTTAAAATATGGGCAAGTCCTTGGCCAAAAACAAAGGAGAAAGCCACTAAAGTCTTTGACTTCAAAGTGTTATATAATATGGGAAAAGTTATTACAAACATAAGAATTTTTTAATTTAGAATAATTATTTCATCTTAATTGTATTAAGTTTTGTGTCTACATTAATTTTTGTTCAAGTCTCAGGTCTCTTAACTCTCTATTATGCAAAGGGGGCAATGGAGACCCCCAGGCTTCTAATTCTAATTATCTGATTGGTGAAGTGATAATAAAAAATATAATCTTAAGAACTTCTGTTATGACTTTAAATTTTGTCAACCCAACAGTAAACGCTTACTTTTTTTTTTTTTTGTTTGAACCATGAGGTGGTCTTGGATGGGCCCCAACTATGGGTGGCACCTTTAAGCTTTAACCACAACCCAAACTAATCCCCACTCACACCGGGTAAACGCTTACTTTTCATATGTGAATAAGACGTTTAGTTTGAATACATTATTTTTGTTTCTTTTAGTAAAAGGAGTTGGAGAGACAAAGACAAAACGATATAAGTGAAGTACTTGTGTATATATCCGAGTACTTTTGTTTTGGACTGACATGATTGCTGTCTTATTGGCTGCACTGTGGAGGATGTTAAAGCTTTGCTAAAAAGATTTCCAGCTAAACAAGTTCATACAAACTTTTCGAGAACCGACTGAAGCTGCTCATATAGGGTAGCACAATATGCTTTGCATATAGATGATATAGTTTGTCTTGGTCAGAGTTGCCCTTGCGTAGGTTGGTGTAGGACACCCTTTTGGAAGATTTATTGGATCGGGGTCAGGTTTTTCGTTCCCAGGGACGGACCCAGGATTTCAAACTTGACTGGACTAAATTTACCTTACATATAAACATACTAAGTAGATAGAAAACTCGATAATACGATGTAATTTCATTGATAACAAAAAATTAATAATATATCAACTCAAAGGGGGGACATAATGGGTTTGGTGACAAAGTCCACCACTCTAAGAACAGTTAAAAAATTTCTTCTTTTTGTCTTTCTTTTTTTCCACCGGTTGTGTGCATTCCCCTTTTTTTTTATTTTTTATTTTCTCTCCTATGTGTTGTTGCTATAGGCTGCAGCTTTCCCTTTTATTCCTCACATGCAAGGATATTCACTTGGATGGCTGGCTGGGCTATAAAAAAATTTTGAGCTGGGATTTTAAAAGCCACCTGGGCTATAGCCCAGGTTAGCCAAAGCCAAGTACCGTCCCTGTTCGTTCCCCATGTTGTATTAATTTGCTTAGTTAAATAAAGTTTTCCCTTATACGCCCCCCATGTTGAATAAAGTTTGCTTAGTTAAATAAGCCCTTGCAGGTTTCTCAACTTTCCAATGTGGGACTCTTTACCTCACATTCTCACACGCCCCCACACGTGTGGGGAATTTTCAAGCCTAACACGTGGACAACACATATTGGGTGACGTGAAGCACGTGTGGCCGTTGGGCTTTCACATGTGGGCTAACCTGGCTCTGATACCATGAAGGAAGTTGAGGTTTCACCCTAAAACCAATTGGCAATGGAGGGAATAGCCCAACTCCTTATAAGCCCTTGCTAGATTTCTCAACTTTCCAATGTGGGACTCTTTACCTCACATTCTCAATGATGACATGATGTTTATAAGCTATTGATAATAGAACATTAAAAATCCCATATTTCTGGCAAAATTGAGATCGCATAAAAAAATGATGGGTTATTTGCTGAGTTGCACTTGTTAGTTAATTTGGTTAGTATATACATCTATGCTGTGCTGCAACGTGGTGTTCAATATTGGTTTAGGGCATTTTTTTGTCTCTCAAACCCTATGATTACACACGTCGCATGATCCGATATATACAGTATCCACCTTTGATTGATCTTATATAAAAAAGATGTGGATATATATAGGCTACGTATGAAAAATATATACTAGTATTTGTCGATTACAATGCATGCCAATATATACTAATTTCAATTTTTGAAGAACCCTAAACCTAAATGACCGATTTCAAGCCCTAATATAAAATTAGGAGAGTTTTAGACGAGCTTTAATGCTCAAGGATTTTGGGTTGATGAAATTGCCCCTTGCACTGTTAAAGAAATTGACAGGAATATTAACTTGTCCTTGAATTGCTACAAATATGAAACTACGTGGTCAAAATTGACAGAATTGAAACTACAGAGTCAAAAGTGATTGAAGTGCCAAACTACAGGAACCAAAAGTGTTTTTAGCCTTAAATTAATTATATCTTAAATAAAAAATTCAAAGTAATGCGTTTATTTTATTCTTCTTCAAGTTTATGTGGTGATATTCGACTTGACTCGACTTGTTTACACCCGTATTTCTTCTCCTCAATTTAACCAAACAGGGGGAAAATAATTTCTCCAAAAGCATATGTCCGTAACAGTACGACCAAGCAAAAATCTTTTAATCCCCTATGCTATGCATGTTTTCAATATTATTATTCCCTCTCAACAAAAAAATAAAAAATAAAAAATATTGGTGTTGAAGAGTCACGTGGCTCAAGCTTAACACAAACCCATCGAAACTGGAAAAAGAATGAATTGGCCTTTCCCGTATTTAATTAGTTTAATTTGGTGGTTGGTTGGTTTATATATATATAAACACAGAAAAGAGAAGGATATAGTTGTCATTCTTTGCATTTGTTAATGTGGGAGGAAAGGGTTCGCAGAAAGACCAGAAACAAATGGCAAACCCTTAACTTACCCTTCAAATCGTGCGAGGAGACGAGTGAATGAATGCATTGAGAGAGAAGAAAGAGTTTTATTTTTCTGTGATTAAGGAATAAAATCAGATGTCTAGGGAGTTCCATTTTGTCTGTATAGATTTTATTCCCCGCCAAACCATTTTTAGGGTTTTATTTGTTTCTTCAAAGGTCGTGCAATGGCCGGTGCAATTTTCCAAACAACAACGAAGACCTTATCGAACTTTCGTCCCAACAGATGTGTCCATTAGAATATTACAGAAATGGTCTCTTTCTGACGCGTGGGACTTTGGAACTCAAGCGCAAGACTCG